AGATCCTATTTACCTTCAATCTGCCATCACAGGAATTAAGACTGCAGAAAGTAAGAAGCTTTAGAGTTTTCCTAAACTTTCTGTAACAGAGACAGGAAGAATACTTTATTTCTTACGCTAAGTATGAAGGAGAGAGATGTATTTTCATGATGGCTTCTACTTTTGCATTCTAAACTTGGTTCACTCTTCAATATCATACAAAATTACCTCAACTCTGCCAGCCAGAAGGGATATACAGATGCTTTATTAGCAAGGAATTTCAGAAACTATCAAGAAGCCTAGATCAATACACAGTCTTGCACTAAATCCTCTTTCAACTATATTCTTGAACACTGGAAATGGTTATTTTTTCACCATTAGATGCATTCAAAAATAATTCATTTCTATTATATTTACATTTCTGAACTTATAGTGATAATGTATTTTGCCAAATATATAAAAGACATTATTGAAAGTATAGGGTAAATCTGGACGGAGGAAACATCATGATGGTGTTACTGAAGTAGATTATTTTTTTAAAAGGAACAATGGACTTCAGTGAGCAGGGATTTTAAGATGCATTTATATCGCTCTCCACATGATCTGTGTGACACTAAAAGATCAGAATACAAAGCATGGCAAAGACAGATGTTCAAATTAGATTTCTGCTCATTGACAGAACTACAAACTATTTCAAGAATACCATAATGTACATTTTATACTGCTGATTGGAATTGTTGAAAACTAGCCAAACCTTAGTGTGAGGTAAATTTAATCCACAGCACATCTAAACAATGTCTGCTTTTTCTGCTGCTTGCACAAAGAAAAAAATAATGAAACTTTAGTAAATGAATGGAAGTAATTATGCCCCATTTGCAAAATCAAGGTATTTTTATTATATAAAAATAAAACAGACATTTCTTTCATTTTACAGATGCAAAGAATCCAACAGAATAAAGTTGAGTTCAAAATTCAAATAACTTTATTGAGGTTGTTAACCAGCAGAACAGTTGGGTTCAGAGTTAGAAATGTGAGACCAGCTTCTTTTATGCAGTGCGATCTTCTGGGAGAGCATCCTTCCAGAACTATGGATGGTGCCTTCTCTCCTAGGCATTTGGAAAGCCCTTGAGACCTGGATTAAGGGTTACTGTGGTTGTGGGTCCTTTCTGGTAATATTCTCTTATAGGTGCCAGTGTTGCTTTATGTTTTTAAACTGTACCATCTGCCAATATTGTAAGCTGCCCAGACTCTGATGGAATGGGCGGCTACAACAAATATAAATGAATGCAACTTCATGAAGGACAGCTTCACTAAGATTTTATATCATCTCGAAATAAGTTAGGCAAAAACTCAAAAGATATTTCAGTGGAACTATGACAATGGAGGTTACAAAAATAATTATGCAAATATAATAGGGCCCAAAAAAGAGATAAACTACACTCCATACTCAAATGGGTAGAAATAAGGTAGATCTGTTTGTCAAGATTTTATCTGCAATTATTTAACTATGATTTATTTATTTACAAGCTTATATGCTTTATGTATAAATTTTATATACTGCCAACACAGAGGACAGGAGTATTACAGATGATGAGTCCAGGTCAGTTCTGATAGTCAGAAGTTTTGAATTTTATGCTTGTTTTCTATTTTCATATCTGCCTCTGGCTGGCTGACTTAGCAAAATATACCACACAGATCCTATAAAACTGAGGCCTGTCTTCTCATATTCTAGAGTACAGAATATTTTAATCTGTGACCATACTGCTTCTTTAAGTTGAGGTCATTAAATCTGTCAACAAGAAGTTGTGATATAGTATTATAATCTCAGATTTTGACAATGTCAGGGACTTTTGACCTTTTCTTTTATTATGTGGTCAGCTGTGCTGACCAAAGAAAGCTGAAACTAATCCTTCAGACACAAAAGCTGCAAACAGTGCTTTTCTATTTCATGAGAAATGTAATTCAAATGCATAACTCTCCTTTATGCATTAAAATATTTTATTAGAAAACAAATTTAAAGGATATCAATGGTAGATTAAGAGACGTACTGCTACTTACTAGAATCATAATATTTCTTTGTCTTATTTCATGCAGGTTCATTCTAGGTGACATATTTCCTTTGTGTCTTAACTAAGGTAGAGTATATGACAGCTATTAGAACAATTGGATAACCAACTAGTTAATTCATTTTAATTACTGATAATGCTGCATTTCATTTTTCACATTTAAAACAACATTTTTTTAAAAAAACTATTTTAACAGGCTATATAATTGGAGACTATCAATTTATGTGTCCTGCATCAGATACAATTGTCCATATAACTTGAATGCTAGTCTCTTCCTATGGACAAAAGAATTTTCAAGGACTGGAAGTGGAACTTATTTGCTTTTATTTTAATCATAAACAAAAAAGTTGATTGATTTGGTAAAAACTATGACACATTCACATTGGGAAGTGAATCAATAGTTATTAGCATTTAAAATATAGATATATAAATATAGAGAAAGTGGAATGAAAACACCACATTTCAATAGAATTGTATTTATTCAATGCAATTTTATTTGAAGCAGTCTTTTGCTACTAATACTCTGATCCTGACAGCAACATTAGTAAATATCTAACCAACTTTGAACATCTTACATTCCTTTTTTAAAAACAACAAGGCAACTATCAGTAAAAAAGTAAGAATCTCCAGCACAGTGGCCATATTCTAAAAAATAATATCATAGATCAGAAATTACCACAGATTTATTAATTAATAATTTGGTTTCATGAATATCTGAACTGCCTGAATATCCAAATCAGGCAGTTCTCAATACACATGTAAAATATGGAAAGCTGTCAAGCCCAAAGCATAAATTATATAGCATCATTGCTTTGAATGAATAGGAACCATTACTCAGAGATCACAAAATGTGGACAATCATCAAAATATCAGTGGATTTACTGCCCCATGTTTTGTGGCACAAATACTCTAACTATGAACTAAATCTTATTTCTTTTCAATTGCCAGCCAAAATAAGATTTATAGTGATAATGGTTTCATTGTATATGCCTACATGATTTTTGTACTGTAATTTATATAGCCATCTGGTCAACAGAAATACAGTTGCCTTTTAAAATTTGCACAAAAATCTATATATGGCTCAGACAAGTAACAAGATCCAGGAGAGGGCATATACAACCTCTAGCCTATTGTTTTATTAGTTTTTAAAGAAATCTTGTAGTTATGTAAATTGTGAAGAAATTAAATAATCTTTTATTTCAGTACACTTGCTACTTATAGCTTAAACAAGAGGAAAATCAATTAATGAAAGAAATGAGACATTAGACATATTCCTTTATAAATGTCATTATGCAGAATCTCTCCCTTTGAATAAAAAGGGAAAAAGTCATTAAGTTGCTGTTTTATTCCTTCAGAGTGCATCCCTAACCAAAATGAAGCCTTAAACTGAATAAAATTTGATTTGTTTACAGATATTTTGCCCTTCCTTTTGTTAACTTTTCCATTGTGCAATAAGTACTTATTTTACCCCACAAAACAGGAGAAGAGGTGGGTTAACCTATTATCCAAAGAATCTGAAGGCAGAACAAGAAGCAATGGATGAAAACTAATCAAGGAGAGAACCAATCTAGAAGTAAGGAAAATTTCCTGATAGTTAGAACATTAATCAGTGGACCAACTTATGGGTGCTCCCACACTGGAGTTTTTTAAGGTGACATTAGATAACCATTTGTCTGAAATGGTATAGGGTTTCCTGTTTGAACAGGGGTTGGACTAGAAGACCTCCAGAACCCTTCCAATTCTGTTAAACACCATGTGCATTGTTCACAGCAGCCCAATTAATTAATTGCACTAACTATTCTCAAGAAAGAATTATTGTTTGAAATCTGTCATGAATATTCTCCATTTGCCCAACATAGATACTTGACATAGATTCTTGACCTATACCAAACTGCCCTTAATTAATTTATTCATTAATCTATCTTTCATATTTATGTTTATATACCCCCATCTCCTGGATATAACTCTGGGCAGCAGACAGTTAAAACTGACCACAAAAAACAAGCATTAAAAATTATACCATAATAAAAATTATAATAAATTATAACATAACGAATGTATTAATATTATTAATAAAACTGGGCAAAAGTATCTTTGATATAGTACAGCCTCTCACCAATACTCCATTTTTCCAAGATGATTTATACAAAAGCAACTACTTGAGCTATGATGCTTTACGGAAATAAAACACTGTAAAAATAAACTGAACAAACATCCATAATTAGTGTTTACTATTTAAATAAATTCAGCAAGTTGTCTTATTTGATGAATATTTATACTTGAATATTTTAATATTTTTATGCTGTAAACTACCCAGAGTTGCTCAAAATAAAATAGGCGGCAAATAAATTTAATTAATAAATAAAATTTGCATATTGTAAGAATTTTTGGAAATCTGTAAGATTGCTCATGCCATATTTGAGCAAAAAGGAAGCAGAGTCTAAGGAATAACATTAACAAAACACAACCGAATCTTTGTAGTAATATGTTTTTAAAGTGAAATATATCTAGATATATTAATTCCTGAAATAACTTCACAATGCAATTTCAGATGTAAATGCATTATTGCAAAACACTGTTCAAAATGGAGGGATGTTGACTACATCTTGTGAAATACCACAAGGCTCCCCAACCTGTGGGCGACAGCCCACTACTGGACCGTGGCCTATTTGCAACTGGGCCGTGTAAGCGGCAGGCTGATGTGCGAGCGCTTATGCACATACACAGCTCAACTCATGCGAGTGGTGGGTGGTGGTACTCACAGCCCCAATCACACAAGCCTGCCGCTCATACAAATGAAGCTGTGCACGCGAGCACATGCGCACGCCTGCCCCCTGCATAAAACCATCCCGTCTTCCCCCCTCCCCCTGCATCGGGCTGCCAACCCAGAAAGATTGGGGAAATACCACACCAAGAGCAGAGTTTCAGTGGAATTATACAGACTATAACACTTACCTGCTGAGATGTCATCGTCAACCAGATCATGTTCTTCTTCTTGAATTTTAACTTCAGATCCTGATTGTTCAGGAGTAACATTAACGGTCTGAATAGTTTCTGCAGTCACTCCAGCTGAAACATCAAGACACAAAACATTAAACCCATTTGTAATTTTCTTTGAATTAGAGAAAACGTATTTAAACTTTACATTATGCATTTATCACATTAAATAATCTGATGAATTAAGATGAGATTCGAAATGCTACAAAAATTTGTGAATTGATATTTCTTTGTCAGTTTTTTTGACCCACGTTCACCCAACTTTTCAAAATGATTTCAAGATTTCTTGGGCTTCTGAACCTTGTCAAGATCTAATTAATAAATTCAGGAGTAATATAGAACTAATGGCAAACAAAAATGGTACTTCCTGCACAGGAAGCAATATTCTCACAATCTGAGTGGATAAAGTTCTACCTTAAAACGAGGTTCACATTTAAGAACAAGAAACTTAGTAATTAACAATTGCTTCATCCCCAGTGAAAATCCATAAAGACATAAAAGTACACTTGTCCTGTTGGTAACTTTGCTTCCCATCTGTTTGTTGTTCCTAACTTTTCCTTCTATCCATCTGTTCCCTCCCTCTCTAAGGAAAAAGGCATATGGTATGCTTCTAAGGGCAGAGGTCTTCAATTAGGGCAAAGACATGCAAAGTGCCCTGTATACTTAGGACACTGTATAGTAAGTACAATAATGCATTTCAAAATAGCATAACTATACTTCCTATTTATATTTTACTCCATGAGTGATTTAGTAGTATATAAGGGGTTAGGTTCCTTTTTTTTTAAAGAGCTCATTTTAAAGAAAAAAGAGGCTATATAAAGATATTGCATATCTTCTAGATTCAGCATCAAGGCAGATTGTTATATAGCCACTTTGAGAGCTAGAACTGGCAAGGTCAAAACCAAAGGTCTTGAGGGCATAGTGATCCATTTCAGTAACAAAGCATAGGTGCCAACCACATCTCCTACTTAAAAAGGCATGGCCAAGAGAGAGAGGGACAAGATTTGAGCTTTGAGTCTGCTATTTATATAGCCTTACTCTCACAGTGCATGTGCTTTCTGGTTTTCTTTGTGTTAATGGCTTTTCTATCAAATGGTCTTATCAAAAGTTGTGTCCTTGAATTCCTGCCTATAAGCCTTCTAGCTTATAGTATCCACCTGGGAGAAGTCAGACATCTACATCACTAAACAATACAACAACTCAAAATGCTCAAACACAAAAGCCAGAGAGATGAAAAGTAACGTCAAAAACCAATTCACCCAATTTGCCACTGACTACACTGCACAATCATGGTTCTCCGATGTTTTAGACTTGGGTCCATCTCAGCCTACCAAGTGCTGACAGAAATTAAGCCTGACATCTTTTGCATTCAACATGAATGCCCTACCATCACTCCGTTATAAAGAGTTGCAGTGGCTCAGTGGCTTAATGATGCTGGAGCTGGTTTCTGCTCCAGAGGTTCGTGTCCTAGGACTCATGGCAGGATGGGCTCCCATCAGTTGCCTCAGCTTCTGCCCACCTAGCAAGTCAAAAGCATGTTTTATGTGAGTAGATAAATAGTACCACTTTGGTGGGGAGACGAGCTGGTGCTCCATGCAGGCAGCCAGATTCCTGCTGGCTCTAAACCTTCCCAGCTGTGGCGCCCATTTGCAAGGTGGCTCTGAGGAGGGAGAGGATGACGCTGCAGGAAGAGCCGCTAGTCTTTCTGGTGAGAAGCCAGTTCACCATCCTGTGGCCCACCTTGGGAAGCATGCGAGGGTTTCCTACAACAGGGCTGGTACCTTGGCAACCAAACTACTATTCTGCAATAGCACTGTGGTCTCTTGGCTAATGTAACAATGTCATATGCTAACAACAACAACAACAACAACAAAACTCCATTATAATCCTTTCCTATGTTGGTCAAAAGATTCTCCCAAAGGAAAAAAATTCTGCTATTAGGGAATCCAAGTACTTCACTTTCATCTGACCTTTACTGATTGGATAAACTCAAAATCTCACTCTAGGCTATGAAGGAAAAGAAGGAGGAGGTATTCTTGAAAAAGGTATGCAGGAACCAATTAAGATGCCATCATATGGATGAATTCATCCTAAACCTCCCCAATACAATTTATTATTATTATAAAACAGATTTATATCCTGCTTTTCCTCTAGGAGCTCAAGGCAATGTGCAGACCATTGCTTCTACCATTTTTTCCTGACAGTAAGTTAGGCAGAAAAATAGTGACTTATCCAGAAGCAACCACTGATCTATACTAATTAGAGCTACCAAATAGATAGCAGAATATGCAATGATATTACTTAGAAAGCATTATCAACTTCCACAGAATGCAGTGCTTATATTAGTTTATATTTAACACTGAAAAGCCAGGGCATATTATTTATTATTCATAAAGCAAATCTGTCAGATTTCTTCTGAACCTCCATGAGGGGAAAAAAATCATAAATAATAAAAAATAAATAAACCCAGACACCGCATTGGAGACCAAAGGGAGGAGGCGAAAGGTAAAAAGAAGAGAGATATGTGAAAAACAGAAATAAATCAGATGAAGGCAGACTGTGAAATACAGGTCCTTTTTTGAAATAAAGTCAACGAACAAAAGCATGGATTACCCAGTCTTACCTCCCTAGTCTTCAGTGCCTTTTTAGATACCTGGTTAAGCAAAGTTAACCATTTTGCATAAGAATCATTTTGCCCAGTTAAGGGATTTTACATGGACTATTACAAAATAATTACCTATTTGCAGATTAACAACAATGCAGAAGGACTGATGCAACCATAGTTTTGCTGATTAAAAGTAGCAATATCTTTTTGTCAATGTTGTGATCATAATATTTACTTATTTACTTAATTCAATTTAGGCTCCGCCCAAGTCCAAACTGACACCCCTCAATATAAATAAACCACAAAAACACAATACCAAAAAAGATGGGATCTTGTTGCTCTATCTAAATATACCGTATATGCCGGCCTATTAGGCGACCCGGCGTATAAGACGACCCCTGTCTTTATAGCCAGGCCGCATTCCTAGAACGTCGTCTTATACGCCGGAAACTACCTGTATTTCCGGCGTATAAGACGACTCGGCGTATAAGACGACCCCCGTCTTTGGTGCCGATTTCAGCGCTCGCGGAAGTCGTCTTATACGCCGGCATTTACGGTAAACAAAAGCATGCCCATCTCAACTCAAAGCTAATTGATTTAGCAATATATGAAAATAATACTTTTTCCATTCAAAAAATAACAGAAACTTACTAATAATTTTCTGTAATCATTTGACTATATGGCTTAAATACAGAAACATTATAGCTGTTTTAAAACTCTCCTAAAAATCTGTAAATGAAATTTATTTTTATCAAAACAACACAGGTCAACTTCAAGAATCCTATGAAGTCATCTGGCTGTTGCCAACAAAAGGAAGTATTCAGACAATGTCCTGATATTTGGTTCTGAGCAGTGGTGGGATTCAAATATATGGATGCCGCTTCTGGAAGTCCATTCTGCACCTGGGCAACAAAAAGTTAGCTACCGGTTCTGCTGTAGTGGTTCAAACTGGCTGAATCCAACCACTGGTTCTGAGTGATAAAAAAAAAATCACAACATTGCATGTGACAGTGTTCAACTTCTCTGGATGCTCAAGAGCCAAATGTGCAATAAATAATACACATCTGTACATCTAAACATCTAGAGAAACTGAGCCACTCAGTTCTGGAGTATCAGGGAGAATAATATTAATTGGACAAATGTTAATTACATCATTGTCACAAAAAGCTAATTACCCTGTAAGAAAGGAAGCTGATGACAGAGTTGGCAGTTCTCTGGCTAGAACAGGGGTGTCAAACTGCCAGCCCATGGGCCGGTTACATCAAACGGAGGCTGCGCCCACCCCAGCTCTGGCAATGCAAAAAAAGTTGCAATATGTCACAATACGTCATGTGACATGGCGAGTTTGGCACCCATGGGGTAGAAAGAACTAACATGTCAACATCAATCAGGTGTTTTCTGAAGCTTTCAAGAGAATGGCTATACATTTATTGACTTCGAAAAGCATAAGTAAAAGGCCTAGAATTTAAACTTTGGAGTGTAGACTTCTTCAGACTTGGTTTCCATGTATGCAGTGGAACATCTGTGTGTATATAGACTTCATATCTGGTTGCAATAGAGAATAATCCATAATCCACACTATATCTGAGAACTTTTTGCTAAGAAATCTAATTTCTAAATAAAGGATAACGGTCTGGAGTGCTGAGATTTAACAGTAAAGCCTAATGTGCAGCCTGACAAATCTATTAGATTTGCCCTTTCAAGCCACCAATCCATCATCTAAAAAATTTAGACCACAATCCCAGAAAGCAAATCTGGGATTTGCTGCAATACTCTTTCACTTTCTAGTTTTCTTACATGGATTGGAAGGATAGATAAATAGAATATCTTAAGCCCATGGGTTCTTAAGCTTCCTCCCTTCCTAGATTTTCAAAGTTCAGAGCTGGGGGGTATCATCTGTCCCCACATAGTTTATAAGAAATGGATAATTGTCAGAAGACTTGACAAGCTTTCAAAGTTGTTCTGTCACATCCCTGATGCTTGTTTTTGACAGGAAGCTGATTTTATACGTTTATGGGTAAAATCTGTACATATTTTTTAGTTCATAGTAGTGAGCCACTAAGTACCAGAAGTACTCTTTTTTCTTTTTCTATAAATTTCCTCAGGCCTTGTATGGATTCCTTCCTTCCTTCCTTCCTCTTCTCCCCCTTCTCCCATCTCATCCTCTTTCCCCCCTAGATTTTCAAAGTTCAAAGCTGCTCTTTTTCATATCATCTGACCCCCCCATAAATTATAACAAAAAGATAATTGTCAAAAGCTTGACAAGCTTTTTTTTAAAGTTTTACAAATTTAATACATTATAACCCAAACCCCTCCCACCCCCTCCCCCCCTCCCCCCCTTCCCAGAGCTGATTACAGGGTAAAAAAAATAAACAAACATAATCTAACTAACATAACCCGACTATACTATCAATCAAATCCATAACACACTTTAACTCCTTCTCAAATCAAGTATTAACAAATTAAA